CCCCCCCCACATCTGTGCCCTCTTGTCTCCCTGACACCAGCAGCTTGGACTCCTGGGTTGTGAATTTCCCACAGAACTAAAGGTGCAGCTTCTCCCCAAGGAGGGGCAGGCCCCAGGGGGCCCCCAGCCAGCCTCTCCCTCCTGAGTCACCTTATCTTGATTCCCAGCTGCAGTCAGTCCAAAAGAGGGAACAACTCCCCTGTAAATCACCGGCCCCACCCCTCCTGATTCTCCGCCTGCCCCCGCCCTCCTGTCAATCAATGCTCCTCTCCTCCATCACACCCTCCACCCCACACCCAGCTGAGAGAGGTCTGTACGGCCTGGGAGTTAACTGCATGGAGTCGCAAGACAGACTGTCCAGATTCTTCAACCCTGCTCCCAAACATTGTTAGCTTTGTGACTGGGAGCAAGTCATTTAACTTCTCTGCTGAATTTCTCCATGGGGGAAATCAGATTTTCCCAAAGGTCAGCAGTTCGAAACCCCCAGCCGCTCTGTGGGAGAAAGATGAGACTCTCTGTTTCTGTAAAAAGTTACAGGGGCAGCCAGCGACACCGCCCTGAGATGGTCGTTGGGACTGCTGACAAAGGGACCGTGTGTAAAGTCCTGAGTAGCACATACATCAAATCCAGTTGCTATCAAGTCAGCCCTCACTCCCTCAAGCAGAACCCAGTGTGTCCACGGAGAACTGTGCACCATGAGGGGCTACGATGGCTGGATTTGGCTGGGGGCTGGGGAGTAGAGTGCCAGGCCTTGCTTCTGAGGGGGGCTTGACCCTCTGGAGAGCCATGTGGAGTCCCTGTGAAGGGTGCCGGTGAGGTGAGCTCTGCATGTGACTGGAGCCCTCAGCGCCGCCCATCTCTGTCCATCCCTCATCCTCTCTTCCCACAGAGGACTCTGGAGCTCTGCTCTCCCCAAACCCTCCCTCCTCCGTCCCAACCTTACCTGCCATCTCTTCTTCTAAAAAGACGCTCCTCCTTGGGCCTGAACGTCTTCCAAGGGATTCAGACTGAGCAGGGTGTGGGGCTGCGCAGGGCCCCAGGCCAGAGAGCATCTGCTGGATGCAGGTTGTCCCCATTCGGCGGCCGTAACAAAGGTACCACAAGGATGACTTCCACACAGGACTGGAGCATCTCAGGTGTAGGAGACGCGGTGTCAGAATGCAGGGTGCTGGCTTAGGGAAAGGAGGGTCTCTCGCATGGTTAGCGCTGCGATAAAGTCCTTGTCTGTTTTCATGTCTGCGGACACGGTGTCCCCAGAAGGTCTTCTGGTCTCATGGTGTCAAGCTGCCCCTTGGGTCTAGCACAGGTTCTCAGCACAGAGACCCTGATCCAAAGGATATACTCTACTCCAGGTTCGATTGCTTTTTATTTTGTTGTCATTGTAATTGTAAGTTATGCATAGATCACATCATTCCATAGTTCAATCCTGTCAAGCAGAACTGAGCACACAATTGCTATCAGTTTCCAAACATTCTTTTTTCCAAAGCATATGCTCTGCTCCAGGTACTATTTCTTTTTATTTTTTAACATTGTATTAGGGGCTCATACAACTCTTATCACAATCCATACATACATCAATTGTGTAAAGCGCATTTGTACATTCATTATTCTCATCGTTCTCAAGACATTTTCTTTCCACGTAAGCCCCTGGCATCAGCTCCTCATTTTT